AATAGTTTCCAGGGTGCAATATTTCAGCAGACCTAGCAGTCGGACAAGACGGTGAGATAACACAGGTCACTTGCTTTTACGCTGTAGGGCTGCACCAGCGTGGTGGACCAGTGGGGTCACTTATCGATATGAGAGAGAGCAATGGCGGCGTGGACGCCCAGGGGTCAGTATCTCAAACGCCAGCCTCTACAGCAGGGCTATTGAACTCACGGTTCTCAAGGGCCGAGCCCTGCTGGTTTTCCAGCCTTCCTTTACCCGTGAGCCAGGTGTGAAGCCTCTGGCCAATTAGAATCAGTAATTATTAAACTAACTACCTGGGAGAACTGAAAACAAGGCCTGGATTTGGAATCGAGGGCCTGAAATCAATAGCCCTGCTCTACAGCATGCAGCTTGAGAAAGGACGGCAGCGGCAGGACAGGGACATTTCTGGATGACGGCAAGCATTCCATTGCAGTTATACTACACATACCAGGCAGGCCCTGGTCGCTTAGCCACAGGCGCTGCAACGATGAACTGGGAATCAACGGCTACAGCGCTAATTAGCATTAGCATCACTTCACCTTCCATGCTGGATGGCAAGCCCATACGTCACATGTGAATCCCTGATGCACCCATCAAAGTGCAGCTATTGCTTCACAGTGAAGAATGCTACACAGACCCTCTTCAACCAGCCTAATAATCTTCACTTACAAAAGCCTTGACATGCTCCCCGAAACTCCTCCCACATGAGGATGCGCGACATCCGCGTCCTCGTCACCCAGCATGCCTCTTCGCTCTGATAGTCCCCCTGGAGAATGATTCAAACATCCCAAAGCATACAACGAAAAAACAAACAATGTTCCAATGTCACCACAACACAAAACTATTATTCCCCTCCCCCCCTAAGAGAAAAGGTTTACAGAATACTTTAAGGCAGAGGTGGCCAATCTTATCCGCAAAGGGCCGGTGTGTATGCAGGTTTTTGGGATAACCTGTAGGTCAGCTGTTCAAACCCAGGTGTGAGGACTCTTCAGCCAATCAGTCCTCTAATTAGTAATATAATTAAGGAGTTGCAGCGAAAACCCACACACACAGCGGCCCTGTGCGGATAAGATTGGCCACCCCTGCTTTAAGGAAAACGGCCAAATATGAATAAGGTCTTTTTCTTTGAAAGTCACCAATCTCTTTATGGCACCTAAAGAAGAGTCTGTAATATCTGCAGCCTTAAACTTGTCCAAGCACAAAGTCCTATTAAAACGTATAATTAAACTGCTGCATAACCCTACAGGCCTCGACTCTCTTTTCAATCCTCAGAGTGTGGGCGAGATGCCCAGCTTCTAACACGATCCTGAACGCGTGCTCTACCATGCCGATCCATCCGTGACCGGCCGAGGGAAAGCCTCTCTTTCTGAAGCGGCAAAGGCGCCTTGCCGTTGAAATGTTGTGACTGGGCAGATTCCCATCGCGGTGCCACACACGGGGCATCTAAACAAGCAACAGAAAGGCCAGCAGGCCAGAAAGACAACCCAACGCAAAGCAGAAGACGGTAGAAGCACTTTACTCCTACTTTACATATACAATAAAATGTAAATATTCAGCCTACTTTAGTGCACTTATCGTACCTCAGTCTCTACACGAGCTTCAAAACAAAACAAAACAAAACCCAGCCAAAAGCAGGTTAGACAAGCCAGTGTTCAACAGTCACTCCTGGACAGCTCAGAGTATCGCTTCTCTCGGTGCTAATCAGCAACAGCCACCATGTGGTCATCGTGTGTCGAGCTGGGCAGAGCAATTTGTAAGTGTCTAACGTGTTTGGGAAATCTCCTCATTTATCATGGCTGCTGACTTGGGGGGGTTCAGTCTCGATGACAGTGGCGTGGGTACAGCGTGTCCTCCTCAGACAGCCAAGCCCGCCTGCAGATATAGATTTTCACGGGCAAGGCAGCCTCTCACACAATCTGTTTTCTCATCAGCTTTTTTGCATTCAGTTCCTTCCACCCACGGCAGGCCGTCTGCCCCCAGCCCATTCCCTGCACTTGCTGGCCATTGTGACTCTCTGTTGGCTCTGTGATCAAGGGGGTAAAAGACCAAGCGTCTCAGATTAATCTGGCCTCACATCTGGAAATGCAATCTCGCTGTCCTTCCTGGACAAGCCTTTAGAAATATTTCTTCAGACTTTCCAACCGAGGTCTCTCTTGGGTGTCTTAGAGCATCTAATAGACTTACAGGAATCATGGAAAATGAGAAACAAATCAAAAAGACACCCAAAATTGGAAAACCTCATGAAAACTACAACTTGTGGGGGGGGGGGGGTTCAACAGTGTTATGGGGCGTTCCCGCCCCCCATCATTCACTCTGAGCACCCCCCAGAGAGGTGTAGATTCTCCAAACACCCCCCTGCCCCCCACCCCCCACCCCCCAAGAAGGCCGGCACACGACACGCTCCCGGGGGCCAGTGGGAGGATGTGCACGCCTCAGCTGGTAACCCTGCCAACTACGTTGCCATGGAGATCGATCTGTTTACACTCCAGCGGCGGTGGCGGTTGATGGCATCAGCTGACAGATGGATAATTAGCCACGTGAGATGCTGGTGTAATCACTATGGGGGAATCAGATGTGGGCTGGACCATGTGGGGGAATCGGGGGGTGAGAGGGTAATTTCAAGTGTCACACAAAGGAAAGCTGGAAGAGGATTCGATGGGGGGGCGTGGGGGGGGCAATAAATAAACTGAAAATGAGAGCAGACACAGGAACAGTCACATGACAGCGAAATGCCGTCAGCTTTTGGTGAACCTTCTTGAAAAATGTGAGCATTGAAAAAAAACTGCTTAAAAAAGGTTATTTACCAAACCCACAGAAAAGTCCGCGTCAGACGCAATGCTGTGCCAGAGATGAATCACCGCAGCTCAACAGCGCGTACACACAAATGTGCCACTGCGCATTAACTATTCAACGCCAGCCTTCTGTGAGAATCAATTTCACAGCTGTCTTGCTCAGGTAATGAAAAAATTACCTTTTGTTTGGCGGTGGTGGGATGGGTTTTATGCAGTGCGAAGCCTTAAAGATCAGAGGCTGGCTTTACGATTTCCAAGAATCCCAGAATCAAAGTCAAGCCGCTCCAGGACGGATGGAGGAGAACAGTGGAAAAAAAAACACACAACAATTATCACAATTACTAAAATGGACGATAACGCAAATCCAGAAGCCAGGCTGAACTTTCAGCTTTCAGACACGTGTCGAGATCCCCCCGCCCCAGTGGGAAGAAAATGCACTACAACAGTCCACCCAACAATGCCTCATGGTCCTAAAACTTCAACCACACACTTAGACAGAGTCACAGGAGCAAAGACTACCATCTGTGCCAAGAAACATAATCGCCGAGGAGGTTTTGATGACAGCCTGATAAGCTAGCTAGCCCAGACCAATCAACGCACGCTCAGCTACCAGATCGACTTGTCGTGACTTTAATCAAACGTCAGCTGGATTCTTATCTGCGACCGAAAAACAAATTGCTGTAGGAAACATGCTGGTCGTGTGAGACGAGATCATGTTATGGTTCTAAGCTGACGCTGCCATCAATGCACCCCCCCCCCCCCTCCCTGTGCCCAGCACTTCAAACCTGCTAGATTCCACATTACTCAACACCCTCCTGTCCGCCTTCCTGTAATCAGCAACACACACAGAGTCACAAGCACAACAGTCTCAGCAGTGAGCAATCCCAGGGTTACCAGGACGGCACCAGAGCCAGGATCACAGCAGAAACCATGCTGGAATATTTACATAATACCTGTCTGTAGAAATTTCCAGAACACCAAATCCTGCAACACCTGACATACACAGTGGTTAAAAATGGCTCTCTCATGCAGTATTAAGGAGCCAGAACCAGGATCCTTACAGACCTCATGAAAACCTCAGTGTTTCTTTTTTTACTGTGAATATCCAACCTGGCTGTCAATATACTATCCAGGCTGAATCCTCGATTCTCGACCCTTCTGGACTCGTCGTCTGTTAAGTTTTCCTGTGCCCTGACCCTACTCCTTTAAAACGAGTCCCACATTCGCACTAGGCTACAACAACTGTTGGACACGCCTGAGCGTGCTCCCCGACAAATTAAGCTTCGTTTGTTCTTCAGCTAATTGATGTGCCGTGCAGGAAACAATCCACAGCAAATGAGGATGGAGTCAAACAGACGGGATGAACGCGTCGCCCTCCTCCTCTCCCAGGTGATCTTCCTCCCAGAGTCCTACGCCCAGCATCGCTGTCCAAGCCTTTGCCAGAGGACATTCAGAGGACAGACTCCTCAGGCAGGGTGGGGGGATTCCTTCACCTCCTATGGAGGAGTCAGCGCCGCTCGCGATCAGGTGCCTTCCCAGCATGCCTCACTGCGGCATGGGCGTGCTTATCAGGAAAGATGGCCGCAGCCACTCAAAGAAGATGGAGCGATAGAGACGGAAACGGGGGGGTGGGACTTTCACTGAAAGGTAGGGGGAGAGTGTGCATGTGGGTATAACAGACAGAGACAATCTCTCTTACAGGCCGGAGCCTGGGACTCAAGTTAATTAAAGCGACCGGCAGCACCTCTGACAGCCTGGCCTGACTTTGACTCTCGGGCGCCTGGATATCCAGGATCTCTGGACTCCTCCTAGCTCTACTCTTTATTCACAGTCTGTCGCAGCAGGAACTGTCCAGTGTTTACTCAAATCAGAGCTCCAACGGCAGTTAGGCTGGACCATGTGGTCCAGAACTCCTATGTCAACAAACCCAGGATGCTACTGGCTACACAAATTCAGTGAAAAATAAGTGGGAATATTTTAGGCTCAGATTAACGTAATACTTAAACTTGGCTAACGATAGAGGCTAATCCTAATTCACACAAGCAGTGGTCATTTTATTCGGTTAGATTGCCAAAGGCCGGCAGCAAGATGTAGTAATTGCTGTAAGGAGGGGGAGGTCCATCATGGTCCGTGGTTGAAGGTCAGGGGTCAAAGGTCAAGGGTCACGGTGTGAGGCGGCAGACTTACCATTGTACGTCACTCTGGGCTTCGTCAGGCACATAACCAGGTGTAGATCCATTTCATCTGAGGAGACAAACTTGGAGCAAACGGGACACTTAAAGCCTGCAAGGGAGCGAGACAGAGAGTCAGATTTTTTTTTACCTGCAACCTTATTCAGTCTTCAAATTGTACAGCGTGTGTGACAGAAAGACAGAAAAGACTGAAGGCAGTCGCTTCTCCCTCTGAAAACTGTGTGACCCTCCTGATTTATAGGAAAACATGGCAAGGAATCAAAAAGCTCAGTTATAAAACAAATACTGAATTCTGTGGAACATTTTTTCAAGAATTATGAAAGAAAAAACATCATATAAACCCTAGAATATCATCAAAAACTCCAGGAAAGAAGGGATTAAAGACTGTCAGTCACTTTTACATGTGTAGTCTGTAGCACTAAAACATCCATCCATCCATCCGATTTTCCTAGTTTGGCCACATACACACTACAGGCTATTTCGAGATGCCAATAAGCCTAATATTGCTTGTTTTTGGACTGTAGGAGAACACCCAAACATCACAGAGAGATCATGTAAACTGCACACATGGAATTTGTGACCCCCCCAATCCTAGAGGTGTCAGGCAGCAATACTACCCATTGAGCCACCATGCCCCACCCACCAACTAATATGGCAGTTTTGTAGAACATGGCAGGACAGGTGCAATGGAGTCTGGGAGCTGACAGTCAAGTGGAGGGGGAGGGGCAGCAGCAGTGTGGACCAGAGGCCTGATGACCAGGTGGTGAGAGAGCAGGTGGAGAAGGGCAGGGCCCATGTGCAGGGGCACTGCCCTGAAACGTGCCCCCTCGCACTGCAGCATAAAGAGCAGAGGCAGCAGTTCTCATGGATGATGTGCCCCTCAGCCCAGACTGTGCTTCCCGCCTTCTAGGAGTTTCCAGTGAACCTGTTAGGTCACCAGAAAAAAAAAAGAAAAGAAAAGAAAAGAAAAAAAAAAAAAACAGAAACTCATTCTTGAGCTGCTTAAATACGTCTCATTGTTATTCTGTCTTTGCGAGCCCCAGAAATCCCTCATTCAGCGTTCCTGGCCTCGGGCCCTACTGCCCGCCGGCTCGCCCAAGGGCCCTCGGGAATTCCGAGTTCCTAAGGGGCCCCAGGGCGGGTGTGCAGCTGCTGGGCACCATGACAGCCTGCCCAAGAGCCATCAGCAATACCGGGGGCAGGAGAGCTGGTGCCGTCGTGACACAAGCCGCAGTTAAGAAGACAAAGCGTCTGTCGCTCTCGTCCAAGCCTTTGATTAATGAGCATGTCCTGCCAGATCGTGCTCAATGATCTGCCTGATGACATTTGTTTTCCTAGCACGCACACTCTGTCTGTGCAGACCTCCGTCCACAGACCGAAGGCCTGGAGGGCGGCGTCGGTCACAGGGTGACCATCCTCATTCTCTACCCCTCCCCCACCCTCATGGAAAATTCCAGTATTAGAATGTGTCTTGTTGTTATAATGCCAAGGCTTTCGCGCCGCTCTGGTTTAGTGGCTCCCTGTTGGTGTCTATCGTGACTCTGGCTCTGCCCATGGCACCTGTGGTTCTGTAGCTTCAGGCGATGCCTCACATCAGAAGGGCAAGACGTCGCCCATCCGAAGAACTGAACGCATGTCTGTACGCCACAGACTGATTCAGCGAACGGCCCGGAAGATAACAGCGGCGGTAAACAACTGCCGATAACCAAAGCGTAGCTTAAAATACCGCGCAGGGCCTAAGAAAAGCTGCCAATGGAGACCCAGGAGATCGGGTTACAGCTCTGCCGCGACAGTGGGGGTGAGAACGCGAAGGCTGCCCCCCCACCACCACCACACACGCAGTATCTGGCCTTTTTATAGGTCAGCTTAGACGGCAGAGCACGGCAGTTTGCCTGCGGCTCTGCTGGGGGTGTTATTTAACACGGAAACACAAGAATAATTGGTTCTGCTTTTCAATAAATCGTTATCATGTACAGCAGAACAGACTTTACATAAAGATGACGGCCTCCACGTCAACACGGCTGACAGAGACTGGAAAAAATTCTTCAGAAGGTCAACTTGACCCTCACGGTTGGCCAGTCAACCATGGAGACTGCTTGTGGTTTACTGGACCATAGTTCAGCCTGCAACTGGGCAATACTGACTGCAGGTTCCTAGGCATGTGAGCATCAAACTCGTCCTGTCTCCATAGTGCAGGGGGGGGGGGGGGGGTTGTAACAAAACTGTGTAACAAACTGTGTGTGTGACTGCAAGGCAAAGAGGCTGCTTACTCATGGTGTGAAAGCTACTCACAGCCAGCTGAGGTGACAAGAAGAGGATAACTGGCAACATGCCCAGCAAAGCACAACAATAACAGCAAATTCATTCATTCATTCACCTTTATTTTACCAGGCAAAGCATTAAGAATTCTTATTTACAATGAGTGCCAGAAAACAACTGTAAACCAAAATGAAAATAATAATTAAAAAAAAATAATAATAGTAAATAAAATAAAACCCATATCAGAATGATTAAACAGAATTAAAACAAATATATTGCATATATTGCCCATATTACAGCAAGATCTGCTAAGATGCCCCCAGACTGGATCACACTGTGCGCAGTGTGCTGTTATACGGACGAGGCCCTCTTTAAACTTAAGAGAAGCGGCATCCAACCAAGTTTGAGTAGCCAGAACAGCGTGCCTTACAGAAATGGGCGACTACGATGATAGCGACAACCACTACAACGACATCAACACCAATAACGATGATGATAACATCAAAACAACAACAGAAATAACATCAAATGACAGCAACAACAGTGAAGATGACAACATCAAAACAACAACATCGACAACAACCACAACATCAAAAACAACAGTAACAGCAACAGTCAGGGTAGCAGTGACCGCTGGCCATGGGCGTAAGTTACAGGGGGGATGGGGGGGTTGTAGCCCCCCCCAATAAATCAAAACCAGCTAATACAACCCCCCCAATTATTTTTCTCCCGTAATGGGTGTTCCAGCCAAAGTTATGCCCTTGCCGCTGGCAGAGTGTCAAAGTGAGCTTCTTCTCAGGGAAGCTGGACTGAGCCCATGGTGAAATGGAGACCATGTTCTTGTGAATGTGGCTACTGCATATCTAGCAGGGCTGGTTAGATTTAAAGCTAAGACCTCCCCTCTCAGGATCCCTCCCCCCCTGCCGGGCCTCGTCTCGCCTCCATCCCAGCAAACCCTGATTTACAATTCCAGCTTCGGTCCATGGTGCTGGCAGATTCCCTCTGTATAACAGGATCTTTATTCATTTTTGAAAGAGGCAGACATGACTTGGGGCAGGTTCACACGCACGTTTTCTGACCTAACCCCCGTCTGTCCCGCATCCTTGACAATGCTTACAGAACGCTGTCATCTGTCTGCGGGCAGTGTCACCGCCCCCCCCC